TTCTATTCTATTCTATTCTTTCATTATTCTATTCTATTCTATTCTATTCTATTCTATTCTATTCTATTCTATTCTTTCATTATTCTATTCTATTCTATTCTTTCATTATTCTATTCTATTCTATTCTATTCTATTCTATTCTATTCTATTCTATGTTCTATTCTAATATGTTTTAAATGCAAAGGCTTGGAAAGTTGATGCGCTGACACTTTAAAGCTGCTGTGGATATTTGTTCTTGTTCTTTCGTTAATCTGTTTTAATATAATAAGGCAACATCAACAGAAGAGAATATCTGTGGCTCAGGGTTGAACTGTGGCGCTCTCTGGGTTTGGTGGTTTGCTGGTCAGCTTTTCATTACCCTAATAGAGAACATCATCAATGCTAGTGAGTGTGGAGTTTGAGTTCTGTTCATATAGAGCCCTGCCTGTGTGTGTGTGTGTGGTTTTCCCCTTGGTCATTCCTTGATTAGGGTATTGTTTTCTGGTTGTTTTCTGGTTGATTTGTCTGATGTTAATCCCTGCTCATCTTAACCACACCTCTACAAAATCACTGTATATAAACAGGGAGCAAACCCCACATTCACTACTCGCACTGATAATGTTACCGAGCTGGGTAATGAAATGTCTGGAAGCATACAACAAAGAGCACCAAGGACCCCCCACCCCCCAAAATACCAAGCCATCTTTTCCTGTTTATTGCTGATTTCTTTACTACGACGATCCGTTCTGACGGTTATATCACATTTTAATACCATTGGTAGAAATGCTGCAGAATCGGACAAAGTAACTTCTGTGGGGCTAAAACAACCCCCTGAATAGGTTTCTTCGATGGACCAATGATGAAATGTGCCAAAAGAAACCACACAGTGACCGACTGCTAAGTATGTCTGTTCTGAGACGGCACAATTTAAAAATAAACCCATCTTCCAAGACAGCACTTCACAGTGCTTTTACACTCCCTCTCTAAGCAGTATACAGAGTCAGCACATTGCTCCTAACAATCATTTTACCGACCTCGGAAGGAAGGATGGAAAGCTGAGTCAACCTTGAACTCTGTCAGGACTGAACTCCTGGCAGTGGGCAGAGTTAGCCTGCAATGCTTGCATTCTAACCATCGTGCCACCAGGGCTCCTGGTTTCTCTTCCCTACATTAACTACAGGTTTTGGCCCAAAGAGCTAAGTCCAATCAGAAGAAATAAATTAGCATACACCTATCCCCTCATTAGGGACGTGGTGGTGGCTCAGTGGCTAAGACACCGAGCTTGTCGATCAGAAAGGTCGGCAGGTCGGCGGTTCGAATCCCTAGCGCCGCGTAATGGAGTGAGCTCCCGTTCCTTGTCCCAGCTTCTGCCAACCTAGCAGTTTGAAAGCCTATAAAAATGCAAGTAGAAAAATAGGGACCCTTTAGATGGGAAGGAAACAGCGTTCTGTGCGCCTTCGCCGTATAGTCATGCCGGCCACATGACCACGGAGTCGTCTTCGGACAGCGCTGGCTCTTCGGCTTTGTAACAGAGATGAGCAGCGCCCCCGAGAGCCAGAAGCGACTAGCACAGATGTGCGAGGGAAACCTTTAACTTTACCTTATCCCCTCATTGTATTTTCAAACCTCCTCAGTCTTTTTATTATATCTTATTATTTCTGACATGATCAGAATTAGGCTCAACAGTTTCTGTTCTAATCAGAGGAACGTTTGTTTCAAAAATAATGTAAGGCAGTGTTTCTCAAACTTGATGGCTTTAATCCATGCAGACTTCACCTCCCAGAATTCCCCAGCCAGATCTAAGGCACTTTTGCCATCCATTTCCCAAATAACATTGTGCAACCATACTATAAACCTTGTTTAAAAATTCCATATCTGGAGTGGAGGATAATACCATAATCCGGATTGTTCCTTTCTTTCATTCTACAACCTCTCTCTGCCACAACTCAAATGAAAAACTCCTCCTTAATGGTGCTTCAAGAGGGTTTAAACTGCTAAAAAGATCAGAAAAGCCACTGCAAAGCTGTTATTTTTTTTTAGTCCAATTTTGTAATATGATAGAAATGTAAACAGAAATCAAAAGAAAACAAGAAGACAAAAGTAGAAAGTCAGTGGTAAAAATGTGACATGGGATCATGCTCCTTATCTCAAAGCTAGTAGACAATTAAAAAAAAGAAAGAATTTTATTAGTTTATTAGAATATAACATACAAAGGAAAACGAAAATAGGAAGTAGGGGAGGGAAAAGGGAAGAGAAGAAGGTGTAGAGGAAAAGGGGAAAAAACAGCATTGACTTCTTTGTAGTGCAGTAGAATAAAGTAATAATAGAGTGGTACCTTGGTACTCAAATGCTTTGAAACTCATCAAAATTTGGTATTCAACGTATTTTGACATGAAAATATTGTCCCGGTACTCACTGTTTGATACACAATGCACAAGCTAGAACTTGTTGCTGTCGGCTGCCTTGTAACTTACTACATTATTCCTTATGGGAAAAATTTGTTCGCTACTCATCATTTTTGGTACTCATGGACCCTCCCGGAACCCAATAAACAATGAGTACTCAGGCACCACTGTATACAGCCTCCACTTTTTACTTTTACATATTAGTAACTACTAAGCTAGTAGGCGCTTTTTAAAACAGGATGACTGCAAATCTACACCTGCACAGAAGGGTCTTAAAGTAACACCTATTTGTAAGGAGAGGACAAAGTTAGCTGGGATGATGAAAAGAGAAAGGAAGAGGAACCGAGCCAAGGGACTTGCAGAATGAACAAAGCTCAGAAAGCAGGATGGCTCAATGCCAAACACTTCCAAGGATGAATTTGAACTTCACCCATACAGGATACCAACTATAACTGGATAGATACGGCTGAGACTCGTAGGCTAAGTCCTGTAACTACATTTGTTTTTGTCTTTTACTGGAATCCCTTGCATCAGGGCAACTGAATGGAGCTGAGCTTTTACTGGCCGGAGGCCTTTCTTGTTGCCAGTGAGGAGTTTGCAGATGGTATTTACTCATTGTGCCCAATAACCTGCCGCTGTCTAGGATCGAACTCTGGGATTTGGGGGATCTCTGAACTGCACAGGACCTTAGGTAGGGGCTCTCCTGAACCCCTGCGAACCCCCAGCAGCCCACCCCTGGACATAGCCCTACTTCCGAAGCCCTACTTCGAGGCAGTCCTCAACGTACGGCCACAATTGAGCCCAGAAATTTATGTTGCCAAGTGAGAAGTTTGTCCACCGAGTTTTGTTCCTTGCAACAACTTTTCCTGCCATATTGGTTATGGGAATCACTGCAGTTGTTAAGTTAGCAACACGGTTGTGAGTCTGGCTTTCTTGTTGAGTTTGCTCGTCAGAAGGTCGCCAAAGGAGATCAGGTGATCCTGGGAATGCTGCTAACTGTCAG